GTCCTGGCCGTAGACATCAGTCGAGGAAACCCACCACTAAGCGATAGTGTCATCTTCGCATTAGTTGTGTGTAATGTATATATTGTATATTTATATATATTTTATATATATATTATATATTTATATATATATATATATATATATATATATATATATATATATATATTATATATATATATATATATATATATATATATATATATATATATTATATATATATATATATATATATATATATATATATATATATATATATATATATATATATATATATATATATATATATTATATATATATATATATATATATATATATATATATATATATATATATATATATATATATATATATATATATATATATTATATATATATATATATATATATATATATATATATATATATATATATATATATATTATATATATATATATATATATATATATATATATATATATATATATATATATTATATATATATATTATATATATATATATATATATATATATATATATATATATATATATATATATATATATATATATATATATATATATATATATATATATATATATATTATATATATATATACACTTATGGAGCTTAGTCTATCCAATTGTGCTAGATGGACTTTAACCCTACAATGAGGCTGTTTATAATCTTGCTGCCTGGCTAGTCATCCTCCTTACCAGAAAACCTTAATCATCGCCAGCCATATATGCCCGACCATACGGCAGATAGTATTCGTTTTATGGTACCATTAATACACATAGTGAAATTTTTATATCCACTCACTGTCTTCATATTTGAATTCTCTGATAAATCACACTTCTTATGTTAATGATTGAATAAGCTCCTTGCTTGTCACATGGCTGTGAAATACCCGGGAAAATGTTCCTGTTGTTTCGTTAAATATTTGAACTTAACCTTTTTAACAAAAATCTGATATAACAATCACCAGTATAAATGCAGGTCATTATTTAAAGAAGTAAAAGGGTACAAATGAAAAGAATAAAAACTGACAAGGTGTTCCAGTCATTGAAGCAGTCGTAAAACGCAGGAAGGCATCGTTTTTATTTTCTCACTAAAACTAAACCGCATCTCTGGTATCTTTTTCTTCTGTTTTTTCCTCGCAGTAAAAACAGAATACCCAAGATTATCCAAGATAATGGCAGTGCTTAACATACGTGTTAACTAAATATGGAAGGAGGAACAAAGCAGAATTATATGATGTACTTATTTGTGGTAATGGCAGGGCGTAGCGTACATGTTAACTATGGAAGGAAGGAAAAAACGGTTATAATACCACATAAATTTGACGGCATATAAGGTACACTTTTTTTTTATACTAAAAATATCTCTTAAAATTCCCCTACGTCTTATATGCCATATGTAGGTTTATTAATTTTACTAATTACAAATTGATTTGCCCTGCTGAAATTGGGGTGCGTCTTACACACCGTCAAATACGGTACTTATTTTGTTTTTCAAGAAACCAATATTTTTTTTTTGTTTTTGCTTTCATCGGTAGGTTGAAAAATTTATTCACTTGATGAGAGAAATGTAGTAGTTTTCTTTTCTTTTAAATTTAAAAAAAAAAAGTAATTCAGAAAGATTGGATATTAGTTTTTTTTTCTATTTATCTTCTATTTCTTTTATTTTTTTAACATCGGCGTCTTCTAAATATATTTAAAACTTAATTCGCAAAAACTTTCTCATATGTCACATCTCATGGTAACAGGTGCGCGCATGGAAGCGAAATTAGTCAGAAATGCAAGGATGTAATTCATTTTCTCCTATTGGAACAATGAGTGATTTGACAAGTAACACTAACAGTAATAATTCACAAAGCTGTCATATTTTATTCCTATTTATTTTAATCAAGCAAGCTCCGGAAATAAGCTGTAGCTGTCAGATATTTTTTAAATGTGTTTTTCTTTCTTTTTCTTTTCGGTTCGAGAACGCCATCTTGTGTGACTCATTGGGCAGGTGCTAACATGGCACACTCGAGAAAATTGAATAATGGATTCTGTCATCCACTGTTTTTCTAAATCTTTTAGAATTTCTTTACTTTTACTCTGTTCGATTTCGCTTAGGCTTTCGTTGACCAACTCTACTTGTTTTATTGGCCGTCGATGACTACGTCGCGTTGTCTATTCGGTTTTCGGACTTGCACCCCTGTGTTGTTCAGATTTGCTCTTCGGCGCCTCTGCATCTTTCGGACTTGCGCCTCTGCATCTTTCGGACTTGCGCCTCTGCGTCTTTCGCACTTGTGCCTCTACGCCGTTCAGATTTGATCTTCGGTGCCTCTGCGTCTTTTGGACTTGCGCCTCTGCGTCTTTTGGACTTGCGCCTCTGCGTCTTTTGGACTTGCGCCTCTGCGTCTTTTGGACTTGCGCCTCTGCGTCTTTTGGACTTGCGCCTCGGCGTCTTTTGGACTTGCGCCTCGGCGTCTTTTGGACTTGCGCCTCTGCGTCATTCAGATTTGATCTTCGGCGCCTCTGCGTCTTTCGGGCTTGCGCCTCTGCGTCTTTCGGGCTTGCGCCTCTGTCTCATTCAGATTTGATCTTCGGCGCCTCTGCGTCTTTCGGACTTGCACTTCTGCGTCTTTCAGATTTGCTCTTCAGCTCCTCTGCGTCTTTCGGGATCTCGCCAAGGCGCTTCTGCGTCTCTCCAGCTTTCGGCCTATCGCCCTGTCCCTCTGTATCTTTTGGGCCCTCGCTCCCCCCCCCTCTGCATCATTCGAGCGAAGGGAATGTCTAAATTTATATTTCGATTCTCCTATGTGTAGTCACTAGAATCCAGCATATTCAGCTGAATTTTGTTTTAGTTAATTATTTGAAACCATACCTTGACTGATGGTCTATTGACTTTTTGTTATTTAATGCGCGTAAATAATGCAGGAGTTAAGTAGCTTATTTATCGCTATTTCCATGGCAAATGTTCGTATGATTCACATCTCTTAGTTCCAACAGTTCGTAAACGGGATCGAATCATTATCAGTTCTTTTGTGTTTTATTGGTAGGTAGGAAGTTCCACTCAGACAACTTCTTCCCAAGAACTGTTACTTTGTAAAACAAATTCCCGAGACAATGCTTTTTCCAATCACTGCCATCTTAAGCTCAAGTCTAGAGTCGACCGTTATCTATCCTCCATATACTAATAATCTACATTTATTTTCTACTTCATTCAGTAAGTCTCTACCTTGTGTGGATTGAGTATTAAGAATATTTTCCAAAGGAAAAACTCTGCTAAAGCCAATAGGTCGTAACGTACGTGTTACTAAGTTTTTAGGAAATTCGTTTATCAAAACTTCAGTGTCGTGGTTAAGGACACATGATTATGAAATTTAGTCAAAACGTATCAATACGTCATTAGTGAGAAGCCGATTGGTCCGTGTTTCCCCATACAGAGTGAGATGCGGGCAGAACAGATAATTGTTCTGGGGATCTTGCCCAAATCGCCGGAGATACGAGAAGGAAGCCGAAGTTACTCTCACGTGAAGGCAAAGTAACTGACACACACTGTGGTTGTTCTATCAGAATAGGTGCAAAAGACCGATTTAGGGTTCATGTCTCTCCATCCCGCTGTTAAGTAGTAGAATTGGGCAAACGAAGATGCTAGATTGGGAGATAGGAATAAATTGTCGCTGCTGACACTTGAGTTTGAACATAGATCGCTAGTGAGCTAACACAGGCGATCCCATTATTGAATTAAGTACACCACGTGACCATAGAGGAAACGCATCTATAGGAACTTGCGTGACGTCTAGATTATCTACTCTATTCTATCCTCTATTACTATTCGGATGACCATTTCTACACTACCCTCTGTTACTATTCGAACCGCTATTCTCTATGCTATTTCACTATACGGATTACTATTCGAGCGAGTATTATCGAGCAAGTACTATGAGTGCGAGTGCTATTCGAAGGCGTCTGACACCAGCATTGTTCAACGGCGTTACTATAGTTGTATCTGCGATTACAAAGTCTCTACTACAACGAGCATTCGTTGGCATCACAAAATCATCTTAATTTTTTTTTAACAATAGTCTATTTTTGCTATTATTCCAGGTTTTATAAATCTTGAGAATCTAGGAGTAGGTAGGCTCGCTTATTGTCCGGTTCACACTCTTCCCTGAGAAGAGGTTGTTTCCAGTTTAGGATTGAGTTTCCGGTTCCTTCTAAATTCTACTTCAATTCTATACTTTTCAGTAATTATTATTATTTTCCTCTTTTAATAGAAGTAGATAGGTATGCCTATCGTCCGCTTCACAATCATCATGATGAAGGAAGTCAAGAGATTTTTTTAAGATGATAGATAGAAAATGGTTTCGTTTTGGAAGCGGCGTTAAAATTTACAATCCACTTATTGCCTCCACAGATCGCATGTCAATTTTTGAGATCAACTGCCAACGAGTCCGGTAAAAGTTAGGTGTCATTCTATCATTTTTGTTCGATTATTTCTACCCTTATCTCACTAGAAATAATTCTCCAATCAAAGTGATAGCGCTATAGTTGTATAAATAAATGCTTAGCCTTTCTTTTTTTTAAACTAATTTTTCGCTCCTAGAGAAACTGTAGGGTTGAACCTAATTCATCAACAACAAGGCTGCGTAATGGAATAAAATAGTTTGTGATAAGCTGCAATCGTGACTGGTGAGAAGTCAGTGTCAGCTAAGTGATGATGCAACGATACTATAGTTTATTTTAATTTTTCTTCAAAACTGATCTCTGATAAAATCATAAACGGATCTAATTCTAGCTTATTCAGCAATGGATGTTGTATGTCAATTCCACTTGGGTGGACTTTAATTCCAACAAACGTTCAATGGAAGGTATCTTTTTAAGTGAGCAACCATTCATCGTGACTGGTGAGAATTCAGCCACTTCGGTGATCATGCAACGATATTATTTCTTTTCTTTTCTTACTGATTAAAGTTGTTGCATCGAACCGATTAAACTTAGTATTTAACATTTTCTCCTTTCTTTTTATAGGTGAATGTTTCTGAGTGGCTCAACTATTGGACCGATTTTCGGGAGGCAGCAAAGGCTGGAAATGATTGGCCAACATGTTCACTAGCTGGCAATGTAGACTACCAATGGCATTCGGAATTTGTCGATCTTATATTCGATGTCATGGATGGAAACGGTGAGTATTCGTTCAGTTCGTTCTTTTTATTGTATACTAGTTGATTTTTGTGTATTATATATTATGTAATTATTGATACCACGATTAAATTGATGAGACTTATGGGTCTCCAACACGACTGGATCAAGACACCTGAATTGTCTAGTGTTTCTTATGAGCAACGAAGTAGGATATTCAAAGCGGCCATTCACTTGGCCAACGCATAGAAACATCGGTTCCCGTACAATCACCGAAGTTAAGCAACGTCGATCTTGGTCAGTACCTAGATAAGTGACCACTTAAAAATACCAGGAGCTCTAACTTTCGAAGTGCAGGTGAGTTAAAGGATAGTGGCTCTGAATTTTTAATCGGAGAGCCGGGTTCCAATTTCAGTTGCGTTTGTTATTTTCACTTACGCTTACGTTGGCAAATGTGTGAATCCACCTCGGCTCCCCCATCGTTGGGTTAATTAAAAAGACTTTTATCACTAGAGCATTATCTCTCAAAAGAATTCTTATCTAAAAATATTTTCTGGATTTAAATATTCAGTAAATGGTTAATAAGCAGTAGAAAACGAATCAATTAACCAATCCACTTGACTTTCGAGAACAAGGTCCACCAAGGCTTATATTACTAGGATAACAGTTAAAATGGGTAGTGAGTTCCAATATCGGCGTCTAGAGAGTAGTTCCAAGCTACACGTGAGCGAGTTGATAGATATGGGAATAGGTTGGTAGAGAAGTCAAAGTTCTCGCGGATTGTAAGAAGTTGGTCCGTTAGTCTGTCATGACAGTAGTAGTTTTTTTTATATTTGGCCATATCGAGTAATTGTTTTTTATATATGACAATTTCGATTGTTTTGTATATGGTGACTTTGAGCAATTAATTGTTTTATATATGGTGACTTTGAGCAATTAATTGTTTTATATATGGTGACTTTGAGCAATTAATTGTTTTATATATGGTGACTTTGAGCAATTAATTGTTTTATATATGGTGACTTTGAGCAATTAATTGTTTTATATATGACTTTGAGCAATTAATTGTTTTATATATGGTGACTTTGAGCAATTAATTGTTTTATATATGGTGACTTTGAGCAATTAATTGTTTTATATATGGTGACTTTGAGTAATTATTTTTTTTTAAATATGATTTCGAGTAATTGTTTTTTTTTTCTATACATGTAGATTTCGAGCTTTACCATTTTCTCCTATGTCGAATTTTAAAGCAAGCGATTTTATTCTGGTGCTAATTGTTGAAGTGAGTCGTAATTATTAGAATTTGAGTCTTCATCCCGAAAACATTTTAATCAAACTAATTGGCGCATCATGACCTCTGAAATATTCTCGGTCTATCATGAGAAACAAATTTTTGTATCTATTTCTCTTGGTACCAGATTTGTTTTACACTTGATTATATTCAACTAAACCCAACAAAACTCCAGAACGAGATATGTGATTGGTTCCAGCGGTCTGTCTTCACAAACAGTAACTCCTTCAAATGGGGGTAGTAGTGTTCAAAATGCTAAATACCAATGGAGCAATTTTCGTCTCTAGTCCTGTATACTCTAGAGGATGAAACTTTAAACCTATGGTACAAGGCCAGGTTTAAAGTGTCATCCCCTAGAGTTTCAAAGGAAGGAGCCATTTTAAGAGTGCAATCATTCATCGTAACTGGTGAGAATTCAGTCAGCTCGATGATAATGCAACGATACTATAGTTTAATTTCTTTTCTTACTGATTAAGGCTGTTGTATGAGCGTAAGCGGGGGGTAATAAGTGCAGTTTATGAAGATATGTTGGATAGCTTGAGGTTGACCTTAGACTTGAAGAGGTTAAGATTGTAGTGGTCCCGGAATTATCCGCCATGGCGTCGGTTGCATAAAGTAGCAGTTATTGAAAAGAAGTTCTCTAGGCAGAGATTCCCTGTTACTAATAAAATGAGGATAATTCAACTCTGTGTCCGTCGCCTGGTAGCTTCTGGCCGTAAACTGTTGGGACTAAAGGATGCAGAGCGTCTGAACATTTGTCACGAAAATATTGATAGGGTATCGAGAATCTTGAGATCAATGCTCGTGAGAAACACTGAAGGCTTAAAATTCATCACCCACAAAGCCGCGTAAGGGAATAAAATAGTTTGTGATAAGCTGCATTAGAAATAAATAAGCCACATGAAATACTGAGATATAGGTGATAGACGCTGTGATGTAATGGGTATCGGAAAGTCGAGTTCGAATTTCTGTTAGGTTCGTTACATAACATACGCGCAACTACTCTTGGGTATGAATTCATCTCTTCTCCCCATAGAAGGACAGACTGGGTTCTACAGCCTTGGTTGGCAATCAGTCTACCGCTGAAACAAATAGCAATCTACTGTGGAAAAATCTGTCTAGTCAGTCATGTATCGAAAGAGACAATATCGGACCAAGCTTATCACTTATGACACCTGACTGACTGAAGAAGTGCATTTCATAAGGATATGTAGAAAAGATAATGGTCAGTCTTAGACTTGAAAAGGTTGAGATTATAGTGATCGGGGAAGCATCCTCTCGGGAGTCTGTTCCACAAGTAGCGGTTCTTCGAAATAAACTCTCAATCGAGCTTTTTTTATTTTTTTAATGGACTAGATGAAGGGGTGGCCATAATTTGTCCCGATGTACGTGGCATGACGTGTCTTAGTTGTAAAGGTCTGAACTAAGAAACAGAGCCCATTTCGGACCATTTTCTATGGAAGTAGCGACAAGCTTTCGACTAATGACGAAAAAGCATTTACTTGGTCCAACAAATATATATTTTATAAACATCTCTTTTCTTGTCAATATTAATAGTAATATTAGCCGTTTCCGTACAAGGAAACATTTAGCATTCATTAACTGAGCAGCCAGTATTGCTATCTGTTGTAATTTATAAAATCTTTCTCTTTAAAACAATTTTTCAAGAAAATTAATTCATCAAGTCCAGTAGCTGTTATCGTTCTTTCCAGTATTGATGGGGTTTTCTTCCTAACCTTTTGTTTGAAGTCGTGTGGATGTCAACATTTTGATTGTTATTATTTTCACTTCAAGTTACATGTGCTATTCATTTTAGTTGTTGCTGCTTTTGGAAGTCCTCAAGTGATGTGGTTTCTATTATTTGGTTCTTTGTGATTCTATAGCGTCAGTCCACAATGTTTAGGGAAGGGTGATCTTTGCCAAGACGCCTAGGTTTCACTCTACAAGGCACTCAATATACTTGTGAATATGAATCACATAAACCGATTATTATGCAGTGAAGATTTCAAATAATCTTTTCAGTCATAAACTGTGTGTCAGAGTACAGACTTATTGATCCTAGCCTGTGCACATCTTTTTGCGCATGTCAGGGATTTGTAATGTATAGCGGCTCGGAAGGAGAAATTGGAGATCAGAGTTCGAATTCCAGCCGATTTCGTTACTTTTACTTACGCACAAATACCCTTTGGAAAGGTATTGATCCATCTCTTCTCCACACAGCCATGTGTAGAATAGCCAGACGGACTTGGTTGGCAACCAGTATACTGCAGAAAGAAAGGGCCATCTAGCGCGGGAAAATTTACTGTCTAGTCAGTCATGACTCGAAAGAGACATGATCGTTCAAGCGTGTGTTACGTATGACACTTAACTGACTGAAGAAGTGCAGTTTATATGTAAGAAAGATAACGTTTAACCCTTGACTTGAAAAGGTTAAGATTGTTGTGATAGGGAAACATCCTCTCGGGAGTCTGTCCCACAAAGTAGCGGTTATTCGAAAGAAACTGTCCCAGTGGAACTACCTTCTTTCTAATTGTTGTGGTAATTTACCCACGTACTCATGGACTCTTCCAGCTATAAATAGGAGCAGGTACTGCCTTTTGGGAGGTGACATTTCCAGCGGTCAGCTCTGACAGTCGGACCGAACATTCTTGCTATAAAACTCGCATTTGTATATGTTTGTATTACTGTTTCTGTTAATATATTTTAACTTAATTCCTCTCTTGTGTCTTTATTTCTGGCCCTAACAAGGCCACAGCACTAATGAATTATAATGTGGGTGGGATCCGATTCTGCTTACGTTTACTTACGCGCAAATATCCGTAGTAAAGGTATGAATCATCTCTTCTCCCCAGATATGGGTTAAATAACACACGTTGTATATGGAAAAATCATTATCTCCTAAAATAATTAACACCATATTCACTTGCAAAAAAATAAAATAAAATAAAAAATAATTCAATATTCTCACAATCCAAAATATTCTTCAGCTTTAAATAACGCAGAAAGGGTTGATAAGTAGTAAGAAAAACAAAAATTATCAATCACCAGGGATTTAGGTCGTCAAAAAAAGAAAAAGAAAGTAATGTTTGTTTCTCTTCATTTCTTTTTTGTCTTTCCGCCTTTAATCACTTGATTGTTTCTCTCCCATCGTTACTCTACCAGTTTTACGCGGAAGAATTTAATCATTCTCAGTGCGAATATGTCAAAATCATTAAACGTATAAAAATAACTATATTGGAGAAAGGAGTGTTGTTGTTGTTTCACTCAAAAGTAGAAGAATCTGCTTTTGCGAGAGAGAGAGATTACTTAAAGAATGAGTTTGGATAAGTAATCAGATAAAAGTACATTTAAAATCAAAGAACAGAACTTAAAAAAAAATACGTCTCCTTGAAAACAAAAAAAAATAGAAAAAAAAAAAAAACAGACGATGTAAGCATCTTATGGGAATTGTCTTGGAAATGTGTTTATTTCATATGTGTACTAGGTTATAAGAATTGGCAGACATATTAAAAAAAAAAAAATAAAAAAAAAATTATCAAAGGCTATTTCCATTTTAGCAACATCTTGAACATCCCAGACGTTTCTTTATGAGTGTACGACTCGCTTTTCTTCCGGCGATAGACTAACATCTTTTTGTAAGAACCTTCAGAAAAAGAGGCGTTTAAGTTATACTAGCGCTATTTTTCTACTCGACTAAACGAGTATGATTAAACTTTTAAAAAATCTTACTACAAGCAAGGCAATAAAGCCACTAAGACGCAAGAATGTTAGAGAATATGAGAAGAAAATGAGAGTGAACAAAAAACAAGAGTAAATAACGATTTCAATTTTGATAAAATTAACTGGTAAGCAAAAAGCCAGAAGTGAGTCCTACAAGCTAGAAGTGCAATAGAAAAACCTGTTAGCATAGAACTTACGGTTACATTTAGCCCTTTTAACATTAAAATGATGAGACCATGCCGCCAATCTTGCATAGCGCTTAAATTAATAAAATCTAGGTACCATAGAGGAAAGTTCATAAGAACACTTATAGAAGCTACGTTACAGATGTGGGAAAGTGATTGAAGCCATGATGTCAGGTCAGGTCCAATAGCGTTGCAGATTCTGTTTTGGATTTTTATCAAGAATCTTTAAGTATATAGCAGGGGGCACCAGACCGGATGTGACCGCCACAGTCTAAGCACGGACGAATGGTAGACTTATAAGTATGTAAGATAGATTCTGACGGGAAAAATTGTCTCGCACGTCACAGTGAACCAAATTTTCTAGCATCAGACGTATGAATTAATTCAATATAATCTTTCCACTTTATGTCAGCGGAAAACATTAGTCCGAGAATTTTCTTCAATATCTATCCCCGCCACCAGTACGGAGATTATCTACTACGCTTATTATTTTTCAAATAATTTTCTTCGGGGTATGTTCCATGTGTTCGTTAAAATTTAAAAAAATAGTCGGTACGCTTGTTATGTATACTGAAAAATTTCCACAGGAGTGGTTTTTATTTACTTGACTCCCTACTGAGTCAAGTTATGACACAAGGTCGATTTTTAATGTGGGAACCCGAGTGTCTTCGCTGAGGCCGCTAGTTTTAGTTGGTTATAGCTGGTCCAAGCTGGTCAGAGCTGGTCTAAGCTAGTCATAGCTGTGATACTAACAGCGCAGGTACGGATCCCTGTGACCGGCAAGTATCCGAATATGTATACCCTTTCCAAAGAGGGGTTTACACACCTTCCATGGGAGAGGTTATTACAGATGACAATTGTGTTTGTTACAAAAGAGTATTAAGGAGAGTATTTCCTCGTGATCAAGTAGCAAATCGCACTTTCTAAGCTAGAATCTATTTTTCTTCCTTGCTTTCTTTTACATCTCGCATGCTTTGTTGCGTTTTTAAATCTTGCTTTCTTCACATTTTGCCTTCTTTCTTCGTGTTTTGCCTTCTTTCTTCGTGTTTTGCCTTCTTTCTTCGCGTTTTGCCTTCTTTCTTCGCGTTTTGCCTTCTTTCTTCGCGTTTTGCCTTCTTTCTTCGCGTTTTGCCTTCTTTCTTCACATTTTTCCTTCTTTCTTCACATTTTTCCTTCTTTCTTCACATTTTTCCTTCTTTCTTCACATTTTTCCTTCTTTCTTCACATTTTTCCTTCTTTCTTCACATTTTTCCTTCTTTCTTCACATTTTTCCTTCTTTCTTCACATTTTTCCTTCTTTCTTCACATTTTTCCTTCTTTCTTCACATTTTTCCTTCTTTCTTCACATTTTTCCTTCTTTCTTCACATTTTTCCTTATTTCTTCACATTTTCCTTCTTTCTTCACATTTTTCCTTCTTTCTTCATTTTTCCTTTTTCTTCACATTTTTCCTTCTTTCTTCACATTTTTCCTTCTTTCTTCACATTTTTCCTTCTTTCTTCACATTTTTCCTTCTTTCTTCACATTTTTCCTTCTTTCTTCACATTTTCCTTCTTTCTTCACATTTTCCTTCTTTCTTCACATTTTCCTTCTTTCTTCACATTTTTCCTTCTTTCTTCACATTTTTCCTTCTTTCTTCACATTTTTCCTTCTTTCTTCACATTTTTCCTTCTTTCTTCACATTTTTCCTTCTTTCTTCACATTTTGCCTTTATTTATTTCTTCTTTTCCTTTCATTTTAATTCCCTTCATTTCTCATTCTTTCTGTCTCTCTTCCATCTTTCTGTCTCTCTTCTCTGAGTGTCTCCTTATTCTGGTTGGGATCTGGTTTTGTGTATTTGTGTCTCCCTATGTGAGCTTTATCTCGGATTTGGAGAGTGTCGCTCCATATTTCTGGCTTAGTTTAACCTCGTGTGGTTGTCTTCCCCTCCTCGTTCTTTACTTTCGTGTTTGTCTTCATCATTTTCTTTCTGTCATATGCTTCCGTGTGTGTCTCCATCGCACTCGAGTGTGTGTCCATCACTCTTTCTGTCTGACCTCAGCGCTTATGTCTTTTTGTCTCTGACCTTGACTCACGTATATGAATTTGTTTCTCTTTCTGTCTGACCTCGACTCTCGCCTGTGAGTGTCTCTCTCTCTCTCTCTCTTTGTCCTACCTCAACTGTCGTCTATGTTTCTCTCTTTGACCTTAGCTCTCAGTGTGTATATCTTTCTCTTTCTGTCTTTTTGAACTCGGCTCTTGGACGTGTATCTCTTCCCTATCTCTCTTTGTCTGACCTCAGCTCCCTGTATGTCCCTCTCAACAAATTCTTTCTCACGTATATTGTATCTAAAGATAAAATCATCAATTCAACGTTACAATTCTGGTAACATTGATCTTATGTCATGAATTCTATTGACGTCATTCTCTTTCTTTTGAGGAGGCGCGTTTCTGTATTGCAGCTGATTGTTAGAAGTCTTGTGAAAGACATACTAAATTATTATTGCCTGAAAAGGTGTTACGCTCTCACAAATTGATTTTCGAAAAGATCAGTGGGGCTCCATTTTTACGAGGAGATAAAGTGATTGTCTGGAAGTGCCAAGTGTCCATCGAAGAGAAATATCATCTGATGGACAAAATGTTTTCTTCCTTTTATTATGGATAACCAGAAACAGCTTCCCCTCATTTGTGTTTCACCTTATTACTAATCGTTTTTAGTTTCCTCCTCCATTATATCAAATATAATAGAAAAAAAAAGACCTGTCATTCAGGTTTAGGCTCCGATTATATTTTGAACATTTATCATTGTCATTTTTAAGAGTTCATTGATATAATCGTGTAAAAACAAATAACAATAACACTATAACATATACGCTTGGTACGCTGTTAGTTGATTCACTGGTTTTGGTTAAAACATTGCTAAGCGCTCAACGAAATCCAATATAGCATCAAATGACAATTGATGAAAATCTTCAAATTCCATATACAGACTTAAAATCTAAAATAAATAAATACATAAGAAACAAATGGCAAAATTCATGGAAAAACCAAACCGGAAATAAACTTTCAAATTAAACCTAAAATATGAAAAATGGGGAAATACTCGGAAAAAAACAAGTCGTCATAACCAGAACACATATAGGACACACATATTTAACCCATTCTTATATATTAAAAAAGACAAATCCACCAAAATGTAGATGTGGAAGCCTAATCACAATAAAACATATTCTATTGGAATGCAAAATCATAACTAGAATAAGACAAAAATATCTCGATGAAAAAGGTTTAAAAGAAATTTTCAAAAATACAGAAACAGAAAAAATATACAGTTTTCTCAAGGAAATAAAGATCCTCAATAAAATATAACCCTTTCAAATAGTGTATATGTATGTGTATATGTGTTTATAAACATATATGTGCATGTATGAATGTAAATATTATGATACACAATCCAAAACAATCACAAGAAAAAGCAATCCCAAAAAATACAGAAGATTATGAAACCCAACAGCCTTTTCAACCTTTTATACAAAATAACCATCTTAAATTCATAAATTAATAAGGCTTCGGCATAAATTGACCCAAATAGGAGTTGACATGCCGTTAAATCCAACATCCATCCAATATAGCATCAAATTCCAGAGAGCCTGATTACAATGAAGTGCCACTTTAATATTCCGAGGTGGGTGTTCAACTATTTTCAAATTCTCTGAATTTTTTCATATTATTCATGTACATGAGGCGATATGTAAATTGCTCATCTGAACATCGAATTTCCAACATAATTATCGAAACCCAATACTCGCTTACCAGCCTCGACAGTGTTCAAAACTATTTCCACAGCCATGTGGGTGATGAATAGTTTTCTACTCTATAGCTCCTTTAACAATTACACTAGTCGCACATCTAAGCACACAGCACCTGGTATTCCAAAGATGTCACCCATCTCGGTACTAACTAGGATCGACGTTACTTAACGGGAACCGGTGCTTCAACGTGATGTGGTGGTATGCCTTTTTCTTTTAAGTATAACGGTAATCTTTGAATTGAAATTATAACCGAATCTATTCCGGTGAATGACTAATGCATAGAAAATATTGTTTTGGAAACCTATCATTTCGATTTCTAGTAAGATCGCTGAAGAACGAACTCATGAAGTGTGAATTCTTGGTGAGATAAAACATTCACTCGTCGTCGGAATTTTATTTGAATTCCTAAATTTTTCACTATGTATTTTTGGGAGAAGCGTCTGTTTAAATTTCTGCTTCAGGTTTAAGTTTGTTATTTATAAAAATCTTTTATTGCTTTTGAAGTACTTGTAACAAAGCCTTATTAGTCTGAAGTCCTTTCGAAGGACAAAACGGAGAAGATTATATAATTAATCCTATAATTACGACATAAATAACGTAATTGGTGTATAATACTGGAAAGATAGCCAAATTAAGATATTTTGTTTAATTTTTTTTTCTTAGTGAAAAATATCTGCGCAAAAGTTGAAAAATTGACAACTCCCCACAAGTTTAGCCGATGAAATATCCTGATAAATGTAGTTTTAAGTTTATAAAGTCAGTGGCTTTTCGTTTTGAAAATTGTTACAGATAGCTACAAACATAAGATTTTTTTTGGCCTGCAGACAGTAGGCGTGACTTTGTTCTTCCTTTTGGAACGCGAGATAGATCAAAAGATGAGCGTGACACGTAAATTTCAAAATTCCCTTTGAAATAAACGTATTTTAGACACACAAACACAACTGACCAAGTGAGAAGAAGCCGCTTGCGATAAAAATGTGGGGATACACAGATACAGATCTGTTATTCGTGTAAAAAAAGACCGATGATCGCTGCTGTCTCCATTATTTTTATATGGTAATTGATGTGGGCTTAGCTCATTATAGTAAAGAATTTATATTTTTAAAAAAATATCATTATTAAGGATTTCTTTCTTTTTTTTGTTTTCTATTCCATTGTTTTGAAATATTTTGCAAAGTTGTTAAAGCAATTTTTGACATAAAAGGAAGCTAATTGTCAAAACAAAGTAATTTTTCCTTTTTTTTCGTTTCATCCTAAGTAAGGAAATAAAATTACAACACTCAGGGGATTACTGAGTGTGAAAGTATATGAGAAAAATCATTAAGGAGAGATATAAGGATTCAAGGAGTCGGATGATGATTGACATTCCATTAAAACAACAAGACACAAGGAAAAAACAAAAAGAGGCTTACCGGCTTTCGATCCTCGATCTCTAGAGCCAATCTAAGACAAACCTGTAAATGGTGGGAACAACATTAAAAAGCAAAAGAACTACCAGGGAATCGGCAGAACAAAATTATATAATTACACTCCGATTATATTAAGACCCAGCAGCCATTCCTTTTGATAAACCTTATGTATATTGTATCCAGTATTCTCAAATGGTAATCAGTGTGCACTCTGCTGATTATGGTAAATAAATCGCTGGTAATTAGCATGCACATTCTCCCTTCTCTAAGCAGAAAGAAATAGCTGTTAAGCCTTTAATATAATTGTGTGATTATATATAATATATTTCTCCTCTGCTGATTCTCTGGCAATTCTTAGTGACTGTTTTTTTTTTTTAAATGTTGTGCACACATTTACATTTATCCTCGACTAACTCTGAAGTGTGGCGGTCGAAAACGGGTTAGTATGTTTTTTAAAATTAAATTTTTTTTTTTTTAACTCGATTCACTCCAAGCAAGGCAACGAAAGTGAAAGAAGAAAAGAATTCAATCCTAAAAAGAAGGAAAGCGATGAACCACTATGATTAAAATATCAGGGAGGAGTGTGAACCGGACGGTAGGCGAACCTATCTACTCCTATTAAGGGAAAATAAATAGTAAATAAAATATCAGAGTTTAGGCCGAGAGGTTGGAAGTATAGAGTTGAGATAGACATTATAGGGAACCGGAAACTCAAACTTAAACAAGAAACAAAGGATAATCTTCTATTCCTGTTCAAAAGACCAGGGAGGAGTGTGAACCGGACGATAGGCAAACCTGTCCAATTCAATCGTTTTGATCCACCTCTTTCTGGCTATTTATGTAATTATCCTTGTTCTTCACCCCTGTTGTGTTTTTCGTTTCGTTCATACAATAGGTTTGCTTTGTACCCCTCCCACATATATAACGCTTTAACCTTTTAGGTACTGAACGTTTTAGCATAGCGCATTTTCAGTCATCGATTTTAAAATGGTTTTTGTTTGGTTAACATCTTAAAAGATTACGAACTTTACATTTTTCACCATATGCCAAAAACTGATGCATTCGTGTTATTTCAACTTTATTAACATCGAATGAAAATCTTATACTCGATGTTAAAAATAATCGATAGAAAGACCATGCATTAAATAGGGTTATGTTCTGAAATAGAAAATTATATATATATATATATATATATATATATATATAATTTTCTAAGTTATGAAGAACTTGATAATCCGTATGGGTAATCCCAAGGAGGATGAAATCCTGAGAGCTCAATGTAAATCCAGAGCTAATATTTAAAAGAAAAACAGACCACTTTACGGTACCATTATAATAATTTATTTCACCAGAGTCCTTTTAAAGGACGCCGGATCATCAGATAGCACTTCCAAAAATGAAATGAAACGAAAAATGAAATTAAAATTGATGGGTAGTGTAAGTTTTCGTAATTTAACAGTGTAAAAGGAGTAGTTAAAGAGACATGGTAGAGTATAGGGAGGGATTAATTTCATATCTCTCTCAAGTATACTTTGTATTAAGGGGAGGAGGAGTGACCAGACCTTGAACTATTTAGATGGTTAACTTAACGGAAGTGATATATCGAAATGGGAGGGGAGAAGGGAGAAAAGGAAAGAGGGAGAAGGAAGTAAAGAGAAAGAGGCTGTAATTGGGTTTTAGCTATTTATGTAAAGAATAGATTTTAATGCTTGATAGAAATTTAGATGTCTAAAAAAATTAATTTGATGTTTGCTATCAATTTTTATAGAGAACATATTAAAAAAATATTTTAAATTATAATAGTTTTCTTACCCGACCAATCGTACTTTTTTAATATTGTAAAAAATAGTTAACGTAAACATCTTTATTAGTTTTACTTTTAATCTAATTTATGAATGCAATTTGTTATTTTTATATGGGTAACATTACTTACTTAAAATTTAGGTTTAATTATGGAATAATATTTGAGGGTAATATTAAAGATTTTGCTTTCTTCTTATATATATCATATACATATTCATACAAATCCCATATATACATACGTTTATTTACATACGCAAATACACACATACACACATGTAGCGATATTAACAGGTACCTATACATATTCATACATAAATTACATACATACACAGGTACCTATACATATTCATACATAAATTACATACATACACAGGTACCTATACATATTCATACATAAATTACATACATACACAGGTACCTATACATATTCATACATAAATTACATACATACATACACAGGTACCTATACATATTACATACATAAATTATATACATAGATACACGGGTACCTATACATATTACATACATACATTTTAAATTTATATATATATATATATATAATATATATATAATCAAAATCTTACAATTGCTATATGAATAAAACAAAACCATGTTTGATCAGGTATTCACTCTCCGAAAAGGAAATGATTTACTAAGCGTAGTTTAGATGTGGCACAAGGCCGAAAGTATAGAGCGTTCAGAAAAGATAGAAACTCACTACTTAGTCGTAAGTGATCTAACGAGACAAGCTTGCTAACTATTACACCACGTTGAGGTGTCCAAATGATTTGCTAAGCATACCTTTGACGTGGCACGTCCGAAAGTATGGAGCAACCAATAAGGATCGAACTCGCTGCTCAATCGCAATTGATTTAGCGATACAAGCTTGCTTATCATTACACCATATTGAAGTGCCATAGTGATTTGCTAAGCGCAGCTTAGATGTGGCACAAGGCCTAAAGTATATGGCAAGTGGGGATAGAACTCACTATTCAGCCGTGGTATAACAAGACAAGCTTCCTAACCACGTTGAAGTACCCCCAAAGAGGAAGTCAAGTTTATTACTGCAACTGCCCAGAAACGACCTTTTGACTTATCGATTGTAGACATTAAATGGCGCTTCTCTTGTCAATGTTTAACAGTAAGTTGCAAGCGTCTATGGACTCCATTTGACTTGATAATATTTCGCCATGATTTCAATATTCCAATTTACACAGAATAATAATACAATTTATTTTTTTTATACCAATCTCTGTGTGTTTTGTACGTCACTTGCGCGGCGATCTAGAAAGATCGGTGAAGAACGAACTAATGAAGTGTGAATTCTTGGTAAAATAAGACATTCACTCGTCGTCGGAAATATAGTCTAGGAAAAGAAAGTAATCGTACATAAAGAAACCTCATTGTATATCAGAAAAGTTTCTATGACATTGTTACATGTGTTAAAAAAATTTAGGAAATTCGTTAGCTTTCATTTATGCAAGTTAAATTCTAAGCCGGTTTAACATTTTAGAAGCAGACATCGACAAATTTTAAATTTTATACCAGCTATGAATCAAAAGCTATGATAATGATGGTAATGAACTTCACTACAAAATAGGTTATACTCTGGGTGTCTTTCTCTGACCGGTGATTGATTGATTCGTTTTTTACGTCTTATGAACTATTTCCAGTTATTTAAAACCAGAAAATATTTTTAGACTGTCAGGATTTTGGAAAGAGCTAATAATGGTTTAGTGATACAAGTCTTACTAATTAATCCATAGTCAAGAGGAGAAGATGTTGATTCATACCTTCCCCAAATGAATATAAAGAACCTAAGTAGAACTGGAACTCTGCTCTCCGATTAACAATTCTGAGCCAGTATCCATTACACCATCAGCATATCCAATCACCTGCTATTCTCAAACGGTCACCCATCTAGGTACTAACCAGTATCGTCGTTGCTTAACTTCGATGATTATACGGGAAACGGTGACTTGGACGCAAGCCGGGTATATTTTGCCGTTTTTATTGACGTTATCTTGAAAATTCCGGGCCTCTTTGTAGACTGGCTTGCCTAATGGCATCTTATTTTCCGAGAACATTATACACCAACGATTTTCCGGAATAATCGTGACTTTGATATGGATATCATGCATCGTGTCAAATGCGTTCAGAAATATCTAAGTTGTCAACTGTATAAAGCCGCTTTCTCGGCTAAACAGTTAAAAATGTCTCCGAGCGAGTGAGGCCTGTGGACCACCTGTCTTCGAACATTGTGGACTGGCGCTACAGAATCAAAAAGAAAGCACCGTAGCAGATAACAGAAACTACATCACTTGTGAACTTGCAACACTTAAAATGGATGGCGCATACAACTCGAACAGAAAGTAAAGGCAGAATAAAGTTCCACTCCAACTAAAAGGTTAGGAAGGAAACCCTTATCAGTACTGGGAAGGGATATTATTATCAGAGTTACTGGATTTGAGAAACCTATTTTCCTGAAAATTATTTTCAAGGGAAAGACTTTATAAATTTCAACCAACAGCAGTACTAGCTGTTCGGTCTGTGAATACCAAATATTCCCTTATAAGGTGGCTGGCACAATATCTTCAAGCCAAATCGCCGTATGGTATCCCTGTCCCTTGTCATGGAGGAACAATGCATCCTTACGATTAACCAATGCTGGCCCCTTCTGCTTTAGTGCCTGTTGCACACGTTCCAATTGCCGCGAGTACAGGGCCGCAGTGATGCTTTGGCCCGTCGGTAGCAGTTCATAGTGCACCATTTGTGGAATATTCCACCAGAGACAGAACATGATCTTGCATGGCTGTAGAGGTGGTCTTGTTGTGTGAGGCACAGGGTCTCGTGGCGAAAACCAATGTCTGGCACGCTTTTCGTCACTGGTAAGCAATCGATCAAATATGGGTACGTTGCGGTGTCGAGAAAGCAACGAGAATCAGGCTGTGACTCGTTGCTTGTTGGATTTCGACAGTCTGTGGGATACGCACTTGCACAAATTGTACACCTTCTCTATGCGGCGCGGATGAAGTCTGTTTCATCAGAAACCTGGATGCTTTCGGCAAGCTCACCACGGGTTTTGACTATTCTCCTCATCTATGGCCGCCTTCCGGGCTTCATCATCCGGCCACTGAGGCATTCATCACAAAGGGACAGATCTCCCGACCTGAATTCCTGGAACTAATGCCTGACTGAGCGTTTACTCACAACATTATCCCCAAAGGCTTAAATCATAAAGCAGACAACTCTGAACGAACTGCTTCGACACCGCTTTTTTCCCTTGTTCGAACTATGATATGCGAGGGCGCAACGCACCTGCATTGGTCAAGCACGCAATGTAAAGCCCCTCCACCTCTTTGCTGGGAGGTGACGGACTCATTTGTCTATCAGTGATCACTTCTTCCCACCCGACATAAAAAAAAAAAAACCCAGCAAGGACTTATTTGGTTACTTATAAATGAGGTCCGCTTATTTAAACGGAATTTTTATCTGACCTAACATATTGCAAATATTTTATATAAATGAGGTCACGTTATTTAACACTAGGATGGCCGAGGTGTCGTTTTCGACACCTTCAAATTTTCAACAAATTCCTATGGAATAACTAGTTTTGGTTCGATGCTGAGGCTTATGGACAATTATTGGATTTTAGCAAAGATGCTTAACAGACTTAATTCTTTAAAAAATATTCAGTGGAATAGCTAATATTTGAGATTTTACCTTGAATGGCCGAGGTGTCGTTTTTTGACACCTAGCCTATTTATAGGGTAAATGCATTGAAAAATTTCTCACAAGCAATAATACTTGTGTTTATGTCCCCTATCTATCTATTTATCTATCTATCTATCTATCTATCTATACACACACGCAGACATAATTTATATACATACATACATACATGTATGTATATACAGTGTAAACCGGATATAAGAGAAACCCGGATATAAGAGAGATTTTCTCTGGTCCCAAATTAGAGCCTGTGTTAATGTATATAAAATAGAATAAACCCGGATATAAGAGACTTCTTCTCCGGTCCCCACAACTATCTTATATCCGAGTTACACACACACACACATATATATATATATATATATATATATATATATAATGGCTTTCTTTCGGTATGAGGTATACTAATATTTGTGAATTTCTTTTCAGACTTGTTATTCCTCATTTGAATATTGAATATATTAAAGATGGCTGCTTCACGTCGTAATGTAAATAAAGATGTCAAAAGATCTGGCCATCCTAGTGCTAAAAGATAGTTTTGCCTAACTTAATTTTCTGGGTACTCCTTTCTACGATAAATTACTTCCAATATGAAACGAATTTCGTTTTCTCTCTCTCTCTCTCTCTCTCTCTCTCTCTGCATGAACAGAAGAATAACGACTTAAAACCAAACTCTTAAGAGGAATCCTATAAAATTACTTTTTATTTTTTATATTTTTTTCACTGCAAATTGATTTTTCTTCTTGATCACGAGCTTTTGTCTTGGCTCGGCACTCGAGTTAAGCATTAAAATAATTAAGTTTTACTGCACGAAAAGGGCAACGGTGGGAAGGGGGTTTGCCTTGAAACTATAAAAGAATTAATCAAAGAACGATATATCGACAAGGAAAAATAGAAGTAAAGTAACTATTGAAAAATATATATTTCATAATAGAACAATCTGAATAGAGCACAGGGATACATTTTATTAATCAAAGGAAAAAGCTTGTTTGACGCAGTGATAATAAAAGTCCAATTTAGTACCATCAATCAGTAATCAGATTTTATGGTTTCTGTTGTGATTATTTTGATTGTTATTATGACACTTATTATAATTAGATTTATTAATATTATGACACTTATTACGATTAGATTTATTAATATTATGACAATTATTAAGGTTAGATTTATTAATATTATGACAATTATTACGATTAAGCTTATTATTATGACAATAATTAGGATTAGGGCTATTATTATTAATATTAGCATGACAATTATTATAATAAAGTTTATTATTATTACAATTATATGATTAGGTTTATTATGGGCATTACGATTAGGCTTACGGCAATTATGATAAAGTGTATAATTTTGAAACTTATTAGGAGTAGGCTTATATGACAAGTACTTAGATTTGGTTTATTAGAACAATTGTGAAGGTTATTATGATAAAATTTATTATTATGACAATTATTACGAATAGGCTTTTTATGACAAGTATTACGATTAATTTTATTACATTTATTATTATCGTAACAATTATTACGCTTGGGTTTATTATTATGCTTGTTAATACGGATAGGTTTATTTCGTTTATGTTTATTCCTATCAGTTTTCTTTGTGTTTATTATTATTAGGTTTATTACAATCGTTATATCAACTCGGTTTATTATGATATTACAAATAGGCTTATGATAATTTTATTTATTATGATAATTAATATTATTATAATATTCCGATTAAGTTTAGCGTTATAACTATTACAAAGATTATTATAATTATCAATACGATTTGTTTATTATTGTTATCCTTATCATTGAGTAAGAGCAGCACGCGAAAAACGTGAAACTGGCATATAAATCCCAATATATCAATCATGACATACAGTTTGATAAGACGAGAGCAAACACGTGGATTGCAACCAAATGTGCGTGATATCGTGATAGGTTTTAATAAAAGCAGCACATAACCTTGCATGTGGGACCACAGTTAGAAATATACCTTCAGTCCAGGTAACCGATTTCGATCAGATAGTCTCCAATTGAATGTTCGCTGATGACTCTTAAATCACATGCGATGTTTCATCCATAAACCTTTTAAAAAAATTCCCTATACCTATCCATGATGTGCTCACATTATTCTTGCTCGTGAACAGACATGACATGATGGTAGATATTGGAAGAGTGATTTTATAATCTAAGAAATTACCATGCATGTAAATGCCCTATCCTAAAAATGCCTGTTATATCGATTGCCTATTGTGAAAGTATATAAAAGAGAAAGTAAATATATTTTCTTTTACTGGTGGTTGAGGGCGAATATATATATATATAATATTTAGTTTTTAGAAAAACTAGGTAATCCGTATGGGCAAACCTAAGGAGGATAAAATCCAGAGAGCTCGATGTAAATCCAGAGCAAATTAAAAAAAATGAACCCCCAAAATAACACTTTCAAAGTAAAACAAAATAACAGCATCTGTTTCCAACCTTTTTTTTTTTTTTACAAAGAAAATTAGTGACATCTTCTCTCATGACTTCCTTCTCTCTTTTTCTCTCTATGGGTTTATTCTTCTCTACTCCTTCGATAACAATATATAACTTCCGTTAAGTTAACCGTTTAAATGTGTCAATATCTGCTAACTTACTCATGTCTTCTCTCTCTCTCTCTCCTCACTTCCTCACTTCGTTAATTTACATATGTTTAATACGGCCCGTCAAAAATGTGTAAATTTTCTTTTCATTTTTTGTTTGGAAGTAAAGTCTGATGATCCACAGTCGTTTAAAAGGGCTGTGGTGAAATAATTTATTACATGGAACTTTAAAGTGGTCTGTTTTTTATTTAATATATATATATATATATATATATATATATATATATATATATATGTCTCTATATATATATATATATATATATATGTCTTTTTTTCATATTTGCATTAATTGACTGCAAAGAAGAATCAGCAACATTACTGGTCCTGATCTGGCCGATCGGCTTCAGTCACTCCCCCTCCACAGTAAGGTTATCTCTTTCTGTTTTTTTTTTTTTTTTTTTTTTTTTTAATAAATACTTTCAGTTGTTGAAAGCTCTTCGCTATGGTGTCTCGATTTTAAAAAATTAAGCTCATTACTAGAACGGCATCGAGATCTCATCATTTCACAGATGAGATAGCTAGATATAGCCATAAGTTCGATGCTAACATTTGCTTTTCTCACACTTCTCCCTTGTGGAACTCACTTCCGGTTCCATTCTATCCAGACAACTTTAATCTGCAAAAATTAAAATGCAGTGTCAATCGCAATCTCCCGTCTTCCTGGTTACTCTTTTTTTCTTCTTTTTTTTCTTCTTTTTTTTTTTTTTTTTTTTTAATGTTTCTGTTCCTAATTCTTCCACACCCTGTCACCCCTTGTCTTTTAGTGGCTTTATTGTCTAGCTTGCGGTGATACCGATTAAAAAAAGACATGTAGTTTATTTACGTCCTTGACTCAATGTGACAGACTGCACCAAAAGACAATCTTTGTTTGTCTTAATTTGTTTTACATGTCCTGATTGCTAGCGAACACTTGCCTTCTGGTTCGCTTATTTCCTTTCATTTGCAACCTGCTCAAATAAAAGATGTACATATTTCTCTGTCAGGTGAATCTTCCTTCTTTTTAGATGTTCCTTCCAAATCAAACCTGTCGGCTGTAGTTGGTTCTGAACACTCTTTGCTATTTTTCGCTTTCTTTTCATCGATCTGTTTGATTGGTTTCTGTATGTTCTTCCAAGTGAACATGCTTTCATTTAATCGATGCTTTCATTTCTGTCAGCCACCATGCCGAAAATATCATTGGAGTTAGGCCAGCTACTATTTCTCTCCCGCTTTCAGACATTATCTTTTTGTCTCCTTTGAGAGTGAGGGTATCTTGAACTCTGGAGCTGTGTGTGTGTGTGTAAGAGAGAGAGATTGGGAGTATCTCTCCTCCAGCGTTTGATTTAGATATTATTTTTAGTAATTTTAATTATTATTATTATTATTATTATTCCTTTGATTTCTTGTGTGTACACATTTCTTTCCGGGTCCCGCCTAGAGACCTAAGGTTCGAAATGGCCTGACATTTTCCACTGGAAAAAAACACACAAACACAACATAGACAAAGCCCTTCGTAAGGTGTGGGCTTTACTCGTGAGAAATTATTATTATTATTATTTCCTTTGATTTCTGATGTGTACTCATTTCTTTCCGGGTCCCGCCCAGGGACCTAAGGTTAGAAATGGCATCATGACATTTTCCACTGACAAAAAAAAAAAAAAATTTTTACATAGATAAAGCCCTTGGTAAAGTGTGGGCTGTACTCGTGAGGACAATTTTTTTGTATTTTTTTAAGGAATGAGCTTCCAGGAATCCCTTCAATGAGTCTACTGGAATCTTTCCCAATCAATCCGAGGGCTCCAACTACAACAGGGATTGTTGATGTTCCCATGTGCCACATATTTGAGATCTCGATTTCAAGGTCCTTGTATTTTGATAGCATTTTTTAAAAGATCTTCAAAGATACATTGCAATCCGTAGAGACTGCCATATCAATAAGGAGGAACTTTTTTTTTGTTTGCGGTCTCTAATAACAATGTCTGGGCAGTTAGCCTTGATTCTTTTATTTGTGTGTATTGTGTAGTCGCATAAAAATTGTAACAGGTTCTATCTCCGTAACCGGGTCTGGGTGGTGGTCATACCAATTTCTTTCAGTTTCCTTCCCGTAAAAAGTTGCAGATTTCCCAGTGCAGATATTGGCCAACTCAGTTGGCAGACAAAAAAAAAAAAAAAAAAACGGGGACGTAACTTAATACGCAACCCGGGTAGGTGTCATGGGGTCCCAAAGGTCAGGGGCCTTTCGTCCGACCTCAAATTCGGCGAGAAGTCGCTGCATTTATTATTATTATTATTTAGTGCTGTTTTTTCTACCGTTCCGCATAATTTATATTCTGAACGAATATCAACAGTTTTTCTTTTTATGTGTCATGTCCTTTCAGGACGTAGGTAATCATGGCTCTCCACCTCCTCCTATCCCTAGCAGTTCTCAACAAGTTCCTTCCCTTTGCTATCTCCCTCAGACCATGTTCTGTCATTCACGCGTTGTTTTCCCTTGTCTCTCTTTCCCTTTATTCGACCCATGAGTATCAGATTCTCTAGGCCCTCCTTCCTCATTATGTGACCCAGAAACTTCAGCTGCCTCTTCCTGATGTTAAGTACGAGCCGCCTCCTTGTCTACATCCTCTCCAAGTCCTCGCCAGTTTATTAATTACTATCGTAGTAATAACGCTATATTTAGTTGTCTATTTGGCGGCGGAAATCATTTAGCGAGAAACCCCGCACGAAACTTTACAAATTACTTACAAGATATTGAATAATTAACAGGATCGTGTTCATAATTTCTGGATTGAGCCGTAGACGCTGTTAATTATCCACCAGTAAACAAAATTTTTTAAAAAATCCGAAAATTGTTGCCCATCTTCAAGAAAAAAGTCCATATTTTGAAAAATTTTAAACTAAACCCACAACTAATACGACAGTTGTCATACAAAAGCTAGTGACTAAACGAGTCTACTTCTATCTAGAAACTCACTCAGGACTGACGTTTTAACCAATTCGTAGGACAAACAAAATAGGATAATGCTATTCATTGTCTCTTTAAATAGATTATTAATGAGATTAAATCACTTAATTTTTGTTATTTATCGGTGGGCGTAACCATAGCAATATAAATAGGAAATGACATCTGAAATTCCAAGGACGCAGGAAAGAGAACTTGGAAAACATAATCCTCCTGGGGCATAGTAAGGGCAGGTGAGATAGAGGAAAGCAGCGAGTCAGTTACGTGACGAATTTGTGGGAATAAATGGCAACATGATGCGCAGAATACACCGTTGATGGCCGACTCTGAAAAGAAAGCTACACAACTTCCTAGATAGGGCAGTAGATATAAGCGAAACTATCAACTACAAGAAGACAGAACGTAGGGTCGTCAGCAAGAGAAATCCAAGAGACTAGTTACAAATTGGAGATATCAACATCAAGCAGGCGGGAAGTGTTTTAACGGACGATGGGAAATGAGACACCGAGATCCGGACATATATTTGACGAGCAGAAGAACAATTCGAAAAACTAAGCAACGTACTGAGATACGGAAAAGAAATTCTAAAAGAGTATTAGACTGCTGTGCGTTATCTGGTAGTGAATGCTGGACGCCTCTTTCTCTTTTTGTGCACCTTGTCAATACCTTTTCTATATGGCTTGCTCCCAGTAAAACTTTGAGATTATTATGACATCTTTCCCAAATACGATGGTAAGTCATAAATTATCCGCACTTTGGCCATAACATATCTTTAGATTTGTGTTATAGTGGAACACACCTATTCTATAGTTAATAGACTCTCCCACCTATAATAAGTAGGAGTAGTAGTAGCAGTCGGCTCTGAGTTGGTCAGTCAGTCGATGTCGGACGACCGTTAGTCGGATATTAAAGTACCAGCCACCACAACTAGATTACTTCGTCATTACCTATTATATCAAGTTCCTAATGTTTTGTACGTCGAACCTATTTTAGGACCGACTTAGTATAAATACAAGCCTCCACTGTGAAACCACTACATAACAACTTGGCGACGAGGGATTCGAACTCATACGGAGGAAGAAAAACTTTCGTACGCCATACAACACTTGGTGACAGTATTCGGATTCATACGAAGGAAGAAAAACATTCGTACTACATAACTTGTCACACTAGCTCCTGCTCATGTATACTTATAGTTGGAATTATTGTGGTTACGCGATCGAAGTTTTAGCTTGATCGCGCCAGTTTTCTTGCTGCTGTTACAGTGTAAACATAGCCGCTCCCCTAGAAGTGTGCAACCTACTCTCTTGAGAAGTTTAACAATTATCATCCAATTAGTATTCCTTCCAAATGATCATCCTTTAATTTTATGTATTTAAACGTTTAAACAGAGCCAGCGCCCTGTTGCAGAACAATTCTAGCCAGAATTAGGAAATGACAGCTGAAATTCCAAGGACGCATAATTAGGAAAAAGGTCTTGGAAAACGTAATTCTCCCGGGGCATAGTAAGGGCAGGTGAGATAGAGGAAGACAACGAGTCAGTTTCGTAACGAGGGTGTGTGCATAAATGACGGAACGGGCGGCGGAAGTCTTAGCAAAAGCATAAAAAAAGAAAAAAAAAGAAAGTCACGAGTCGATAGGCAGAGGCGCGGTACTGAGAAGAATATCATCATTAACGAAAATATAATTTGAGAAACAAATCAACATGACTCCAACTTAAATCTTGAAGAGTTCTATGTATATGTAAGGGTGTCATTTTTAGAGTTTCACACTGCTTTAAAAATCGTTAGAAAGTAATTTTTGGATTCTGGAATCGGTAAAGTTGTCGAGGTTTCTGTAAAACAAATCGGTCAAATGAAATTCCATTGAAATTGTTCAGCAGCTGCATGTAACTCTTGTCCTGGGTAAGACATTGAACTGCATCCGGCACTGTTAACTGTTGAAATATTCTAACTATATGCAACCTACAACCAAACTTATTCTACAAGGAATGATTATTTTATTTCTACGAAGTTATTCTAAAACTTTGTCGGCATTAAATGACTCATTAAGGTTAATGTGCCACAAAACAAAGAAAGAAACAAGCATATAACTCCATGTATAGATTGACGCCCCAATTACGGAACCATTACGTCTTGTTGATTATCCGTTACGGTGCAAATATGTGGGCAGAATATGCAAGCTTACCATACATTCAGTCTTGTATCTCCAACCTTCGGTTTACGGCCATATCACGTTGAAAACCCGGTACCGGTAGGATCACCGAAGTTAAGCAACGTCGAGACCGGTCAGTACATAGATGAGTGACCGCTTGGGGAATACCATGTGCTCTAAGTTTGGATATGCGATTGATGTATTTGATAACGACTCGGTATTAGAACTCGGAAAGCAGGGTTCGATTTCCAACCGAGTCCGTTATATTCACATAGGCGCAAATACTCTTGGGAATAGTATGAATTTACTACTTCTCCTCCCAACTATGGATTAAATAGTAGGACTGGTATCAATCTCAAGAAATTTTAGAATATAAAAAAAAACATTTTCTGGCTTTGAGTAACCTGCAAAAGGTTGATAACCTGTAAAAAAAAAACAAATCTATCGATCCACAACTTTCATTTCATGCTCGTTAACCCAGTAAAGAAACCTCAATTCAGCTCGGTGGTGCTGGATATGAATTGAATGAGGAAATGTCCAGATGCTGAACGGTAGAGGTAAATTTCAGCATTAATGTCAAAATGCTATTTTTAAAATTCTTTTTCTTATTGTTCTTCACCCAATACTGTCGAAACAGTTAAATGTAACCGCCTCTTGTATTCGAACAGCTTCTTCTCTCGCACTTCCCGACAGTGGAATTCCCTTCCTCTTACTTACTTCCCTGGTAGCTATAATCTTCAAATATTCGAATGTAATGTCAATCGACATCTTCTGATATCTTGATCACCGTCTTTCTCTTTATCCTTTCCATCTTTATTCTTACCCTCACTCTCTGTAACCCCTTGCGTGCTAGTGGCACTTCTGCCTTGCTTAGGGTGAAATGCTTAAAAAAAGATACTAAAAGCAAACTGCAGGTCTCTTAGGGTAAAAAAGGACTAATCATTAAGTGTAAGAAGAATCTATATGGTTGTTAGCAAGAGGAATTATTTATGATACGCGTTACAAATTCAAGATTTCAACATCAAGTACAAAATTCTCAACTTTTTTATTTATTTATTCAAGTGTTTCACCCCAAGCAAGGCGGGAAGCCACTAGGACGCAAGGGGTTACAGAAGATTTGGAGCAAGAGCAGATAGGAGTGATAGACGAAAGGATGAGAAGAATAGCGGATAGATCTAGGCAACTGGAGATGTCAGTTGACATTACATTTAAATAGTTGGAGATTATAGCTCTCAGGGAAACAGGAATAAGGAAGGGAGTTTCACAGGCGAGAGGTGCGAGATATGAGTAGAAGAGACTGCTACATTTAATAGTTTCAACAGTGAAAGGGTTTGGAAGTCTTTTAACAGAGGATAGAAGAGGTGGCACCAAAATCCGAAGTGTCATTGGAATAGCAAATGACGTCTACCAAAAGCTAAAACCATTAAGAAGCAAGAAAGATACATGAATCTTGTTATGTAGCGATGACAAGTCTTGTCACCGCTACATAACAAGCGTTCTCGATGTGTGACAGCGTGAATGAACCGAATCCAGAACATGTGCTTTTTATTACTGTATTGTTCTATTGCTCTCATTACTTGTAGTTATAAGCAGAGAAGAGACAGTCAGTTATGTGCCATGCGTGATACACGCCTAGGCGATCAGGTGTCTTTCAATACATGACTGACGAGGCAAATTTATTCCTGCAGTAGGTTGCTATTTCTTTCTGCGGTAGACCAGTTGCCATCCAAGTCTATAGAACTAGGTCTGTCCTGCTGTTTACCCATAGCTGAGGGAGAAGAGGGGGTTTCATACCTTTCCCAAGGGTAACAGTACGTGAGTGAATATCAGTGCCATGCGTGATATACGCTTAGGTGATCATGTATCTTTCGATACATGGCTGACGAGGCAGATTTTTTTCCCGCAGCAGGTTGCCATTTCTTTCTGCGGCAAGGCTATAGAACCCTGTCTATCCTGATATTTACCCATAGTCATCAGTTATGTGCCATGCGTGATGCGATGCACACTTAGGCGATCATGTATCTTTCGATACATGACTGACAAGGCAGATATTTTCCCGCAGTAGGTTTCCATTTCTTTCTGCGGTAGACCAGTTGCCATCCAAGGCTATAGAACTCGGCCTGTCCTGCTATTTACCCAATACCTTTCCCAAGGGTATTAGCACGTAAATGAATGTAATGTATTCGACTGCTTTGGGTAAAATGCTTTAATTTCCGATTCGTCAATTCCATGCCGCTATCCATTACTCCACCGTGTCTCCTTCAAAGAAATGAGTACTGAAATGATATGTAATGCCAGTCAATAAACACTAGACAATTTAGTTACAGGTGAAGAGGAGACATTAGACAGTAGAACGGTTCAACGACAAAACAAAATGTTCATTAACGCCACAACAAACACCTACAAAATCAGTAACCATAAAAAAAAAAAAACAGCGGTAAATGTCAGTCGTTACAGTGTGTGTATATATATGTATATATATATATATGTGTGTGTATATATATATATTGGCTCATCACTACTCAGAACGTATTTTCTCCTATTGGTTGTACTACTACTCAATGCAATTCCTCACTTAGAACGCACAAGTTTACCTCAGATTCATCGCTAATGATGCTGGAAAAATGGCCGGCTCCTTGTATAGGTTCATGTAGTACATGGTGGCCCCCACCCTCCCATGCTCTATCTTTACAAAAGTCACAATAGACCATAAATGTAAAATTACTGCTATATCAAAGCTGGTCTAGTTCAGTCACTTCTTTTCAGTCTTGACAGAGTTCAAAATCGTCTGCGTCGATTCAACCCTTTTCCCACAGACGAAAAGTCGAAAGCCTTTCGCTACTCTATCGCTATTTCCATGACAGATGTTCTGAAGAGCTACATCCTTTAATTCCACGTGTTCCGACATTCACAGTTAAGGTACCTCATACTACCGCCGGGCGGTGTGTCGGGGGCTGAAATACATCGGAGGCTTTTAACAAAACATGACGCATAGAACTGTGTATGTGTGGATCGAGAAGTTTCAAAGTGGCAGGACAAACGTGACGCACAAAGGAGCAGGACACCCGGTAACCTCCACCATTGGCAATCTCGAGAGATGGTAATGTCGAATCGGCGAATTATCATTGATGAGGTAACATGATCTCTGCAGTTTTGGATCGCTGCTTTTTTTCCCTCCTTGGTTCACACTGCTAACAGTAGCCATGTTTACATAGTGTAAACATGGCCACCGCAATTAAAAAAAACAAAAAACTGGCGGCATTAAGCTCAAACTTCGATCACATGACCAACTATAAGCACGCATGCGCAGATGGCAGCGTGACAAACCTAAAGATATGTTATGGCGAAAGTTTTGAAAATGTTTTACCATCGTACTTCCTGGCTTCAGCTGGGGTAGTTTCAAAATCATTAAGCATAAGCCTAGTTGTCCATATACTCCTGGCAGTACCTTTCCTTCGGCAAGGGGCAAGGGTCATTACCCGGCGTCTGAGACGTCACTAAAAGGAGAAGTGCTAAGAGTGATTGAGCAATTATTCCACGGTATTGCCGTTAAACCTCGACATTGTCTCACATTCGGTAACTGTTTTACTCAAAGTTTGGCAATAAAAAAAAATTTCCGGTATCCTTCGTATTTACCATTCATTCTTTTAGAAATATAAACAAAGCTAAAATTTGCATTTGAAAGTTTCATTTTTCATGTAATATATAATCCTTTCAATTCTGTTTTAGGTGATGGAGTTATTGACGAAGACGAATATGTTGGTTTTATGAAGTCTTTTGCCTACACCGATGACGATCCGGCAAATAACTTCACAAATATTTGTCAGGTAAGATAGAAAAAAAATCGTTGCTTTATATATGCATGTTATTGAATCGGTGTGTAAAGACTGTGGCGCCACAGAATCAGATCCTCGTAGCATTACAATTTGATTGTCTAGTGTTTTCCATCATGTCCGGATCCGAATCAATACTGTACATGTAATTCCTTTTTATAAAATAAATAAAAACAACCCGTTCCTGGCTATACGCCTTGGTTAAAAAAATGTTAAAACGGTCATCTTAACCTTTATAGGTTTTTTTTTTTTAAACATTATTTGGCTTGTCGTAATACGATAGTTTTTGTGCTTATCACACAGACCATTGCTATTATTAAGTCCTCGTAGCGATATAGTTTCTCGCTTATTAAACGAACTGGTAATGACCTTTTTAAATGTCTATTAAAGATAGCCATTGAGAGGTTTATTTACTCGCCACTGCGGGGAAAGGAGTAAATAAACCTGGTTTTCGAACAGATTGAGGTACAGTATCTTCTGTTATTAAATTATGGGTAAGCTTGGTCCCGGAGATTCCAAACATGCGCAACACCTTCCTCATTGCATTAGCGAAGAAGTGTTGAATGTAGTATAGTCGCCTTCCCTCCCACTGTGCCTTTGAGCGATTTTTTTCGATCTTGTCATGATTAGTGTGATTGGATGGAAGTCACCAACTTGGTTGTGTTTGTAAACAACGGAGTTGTACATTTAACAGTTTTTAGTGAGACAGAAACTAAGACAAGGGAATTTTCATGGAAAGTGGCCGTGTCAAGCTGTAGTTTATCAGATTTATCGATGTCATTTGAAATTCAAAACTAGACATACGGCGGGATTAGGCATTTGGGGGAGACATATCTATCTCCGATCAGTCCCAGCCCAAATATTTCGATCTGGGACGAGTGTGTGGTAGGATCGGTGATTAATGACTTTTCCTAATCAAATTGGTAGGAGGGAGGAGTTCTGGTTCTATATAAAGAGGAAACGTTTTGCCAGCTAGCGGCAGCCCGGTCAGTGCTACGATGGACTAAACTCCGATCTGACACTCCCCGTTTTCCATATTTTCCGAAGTTTAGTAGTAGGCGTCCCGTCTCGTTGTTAAAACACTCGAAAGTGCAGAAACTCCCTCTATCAATAAGTTCAAATCTAGATTAAGGTTGATGTTTACTAGTCTTTCCATTGAACATTTTTGATGACGCATAAAACTCAAATATTGAAATTTCATAAATTTGAACTGGACTCAGTAAGGAATGTAGACAGTTTCAGTAACATTCGATGAATCATCTAAAAATTATTATTATCCTTAATATTAAATGAAAAAAACATCAATTTCTTTTATGTACCGTGTCCGTTCTGACCGTGGGTGA